CTTTCCCTTTCACCTCCCTGCATTGTGCCTACATATGCAAATTAACCGCCATTTTTGTTGGCAGTTAACTGCCATCTGAGTTGGCAGTTAATTTGCATATAGCCCTGATTAGCCAATGAAAAGGGTAGCGTCGTACACCAATTACCATTTTTCTCTTTTATTAGTGTAGATAAGGCAGGTATATGAGAACTGGGATTCAGAGCACTTGGGAGAGGTAGGTCACAGGTATAAAGTTCTCTAAGAATTCAGAGGGGATAAAAGAGCACTTCTGTCTACTCTCTGCCTGAAATGCTTCTATCTCATATCTTTGCTGTCCAGATAGATCCATCCTTCAAAACCAAAATCTAGTAAAATGGCCATCCCACCCCCCGCATCCCCGCCCACCTCCTACCAGAGACCCAAATAATACTCTTCCCCGGGGAGATGTGACTCCTGATCTTGTTTACTGAGTGACTTATTGTTCTCACCATCCTCTTCCGACATCTTCGTTGAACCTCAGGTGTCATTTCTCTGAGGACTGTTGGGGAACTGCCTCTCTGTAAGGGCATGAGGCAGTAGCAAGTACTTTTTGCTTTTCAGCAATACTTTCATGCGGGAGGCAATGGGCTGAAGAAAACCTTCCTGGAGAAGAGCCCAGATCTGCAGTCCCTACGCTATGCACTATCTCTGTACACACAGACCACAGATACACTCATCAAAACCTTTGTGCGTTCACAGACTGCCCAGGGTAAGACTAAGTGCTTTGGGTCACTGCCTCCCTTTCCTGATCTTTCTCTGCCCCTATGGAGTTAGTGTCCTCTAGCTCTTAGATCTCTCTAACAGGTACTTCTTCATAGATCCCTTCAAACTCAGACCCCAGGATTTCTTGAAGAACCCTAATATTTATCCCCACCTCATACTCAGTACCAGACAGGAGAATAACAGGGTCCTGGAAAATGTGCCTGAGATTTTTTTTCCTAGCCATTGCCTGTCCAGTGCATGTTTATTGAGCTCAAGTGGTATACCTTGTTTGGTCGGGAAAAATCTGTGAGCAAGCCTAGCGAACGAGTGATTGAGACACTCATTCATGAGGACTCATTGCTTTGGGAACCTTTGTTGGAAGTTGTCCTGGGCATAGAAAGCAAAAGACTTTCCAGATTCTCCAGCATGGACAACAAGAAGAGAGGCAGCCATAGGAGAGTTGAAGAAAGGGTGCAGATCACATACATAGCTGAGCTCCAGCCTCATGGGTGATGCTAATGCACAGGGGACCCAGGCAGCTGGTTTTCTCCTAGTGACATCCAGTCCTCAGAACCCCTCCCTGCCTCCAGTCAGGCCTATCCATAACAAAATACATCGGCATAAGCATGGCTAAATTCTGACCTTGACCTTGGAGAAGGGCCCTCCCAGGAAGGACCTTCAGGTGCATTTATTATTGTTTGTTCCAGGGAAACCTGGGCATGCTTCCTGGAACAGTGAAGCTGGTGGAGGAGGGATTGGGAAGGCTTGGGCCTTACTGAGCTGTGGATCTGGAGTGTAAAGCTGACCTGGAGGGGAAGCGGAGTCTAAGCAGTTAGACTGGACTTGATGGAAGGTGAAAAGATACACAAGACCGCAGGACTACATTTTTCACATCTGTTCTTATTTCAAGTCTAGGGTGGGAAGAAGAGGAAGCAAAAGAAGTTATGAACCTTGCTTAAGGGGACAAAGAAAACCTTTACAGAGCTGAGTACATGTAAAGATCCATAACATTAGGGAGGATCTGAGTTAATCCAGAAAGGCTTTTAAAACAAAACAAAACACAAAACAACTTTGAGCTTTAAGCTAAATATAAAGATGAGCAGAAGCTGGAATAGACAGATATGAGGTAAGAGTAGGAGTGAGGACTGCAGGGAGGATCTGAGTTTATATGTATATTTTTCTACCCATTGCGTTATTTACTTAAGAGCCTAGGAAATTAGAGCCTACAGCCTTTCTTTTTCATGCCCCATTGGGCTTAGATACCTTCACTCTCTTATGATTTGATTGATCTTTGACCCATGAAGTCTGATTTGGAGTATTCAGGCACTGACCCCAGCTTTGTTACTTCTCTCTCCATCCTGCCCCATCTCTGTGCTCCCTCAGAATATGTGTAAAGCTGCTCTGAATGGCTGTTAACTCCTTAGACCACTAACTGATTCTTCTTTCTCTGTCCTACTGCTGCTACTACCTCTTGACTTTCCTGTCCTCACTCAGTGCATGATGGGAAAGGTATTAGGTTTACTGCTAATGAGGACATTCGGCCGGAAAAGGGTATGTTATAAACCATGCAGATATGAACCTAACATTGTCTAACACTGTCACCTGTGAACTAACATGAGCTGCTTATTTTTGAAGTGGAGAAACTAGGTGTCAAAGTTCAGAAGCCCTATCCCAAGTCTCAGAGATGGGCATTGTATTCATACAGTCTGAGATGGGGTTAGCAATAGTCTGTCCTCAGAATTATCCCTTCCCTTCACCTTAGGACAAAGAAGTTTTATCTGGGTTCAGGCTACTGGTGTTTTTCAAAATGGAGTAAGGCCTCTGCTAGGGGGAACCTGCTAATGGGCCAGACATTGAGACTAGGGAGCTGTTTGTGGAGAGGTCCAAATTTGAGTAGGATAACGTCTTTCTAAGCAGAGCAGCCTCCCAAGCAGGGGCCTCCAGGAATCCAGGGATAGGTGGGAGGTTACTGCTTTTGGCTAAAAGGGACCCACATTGTTCCATTAAGACCATGGGATGGACATAGTTTCTAAAGACACAGGGTGGCAGCACTCTCCTTCTCCAATATCTGCAGCCTAGGAAATAGGAGAGGTTTGAGGAACCTGAGAGATTCCTGGTGCATTTTTAAAAGAAATTTTGCCTAATATCTTGTCAGCCTAACTTGTATTTTAATACACAGCCTCATTCTTTATCCTCTTTTATTCACTTCTCCCATGCTTACTTCCCCATGGCTATTGTGGGTGATTGCTTCTCACTTGAGGGTATAGGGTGGTGGCCTCCTAAGTCCTGTTTTATCTGGAGCAATTAGGCCTAAAATCTTCTTCAGTGGAGGATCATGTGTCCATCTGTCCCTCAGGGTCTGGTGTGGATGATCCTGTTGGAGAAGTCTCTATTCAGGTGGACTTGTTTACACATCCTGGAACTGGAGAGCACAAGGTCACAGTGAAAGGTGAGTGGCACGGACTTACAGGTCTCACACCTTTTCTTGCTCAGTGGCCTCATCAGTCAAAAGCAGAGCCTGTTAAACCCATCCCTCCAGCTTGGCCCTCTTCTACGAGGAGTGCCACCTGGGGCTCAAGAACCAGGAACACTTGGTGCAATCCCTCACAAGTTCCCTTTGTTTGGGCAGTGGTGGCTGCTAATGACCTCAGGTGGCAGACAGCGGGGATGTTCCGACCCTTTGTGGAAGTGACCATGGTTGGCCCACATCAAAGTGATAAGAAGAGGAAGTTCACAACCAAGTCAAAAAGCAACAACTGGGCCCCCAAGTACAATGAGACATTTCACTTGTAAGTTATGGGATGGGGATTTGCAGGACTGTGGGATGGGGGTGAACTGGGAGGTAAGACTTGAGAGGGGAGGGGAGGGAGGGGCTGAATGGCAACTGGGGTGAATTCAGTTGAAGATCCTCTCATTTCTGGCCTCCTACCTTCCACTTCCCCTGTGATCACAGCCTCCTAGGAAATGAAGAGGGGCCAGAAGCCTATGAATTGCAGATATGTGTGAAGGATTACTGCTTTGCCCGAGAGGATCGTGTTCTAGGGCTGGCTGTGATGCCCCTGAGGGATGTGGCAGCCAAGGGCAGCTGTGCCTGCTGGTGCCCCTTGGGCCGGAAGATCCACATGGATGAGACAGGCATGACCGTCCTCCGGATTCTGTCTCAGAGGAGCAATGACGAAGTGGCTCGAGAGTTTGTGAAGCTCAAATCGGAGTCTCGTTCCTTGGAGGAGGGGAGCTGAGCACCTGAGCTCCTGTGCCAACCACGTGGCACCAGTTCCACAAATCAGGGCCAGTGGGAGTTACTGTGTAGCCAGCTTAGGTCCTCATAGTTAAGAGGCTGACTTCTTCAGTAATAGAAATTTAAGGAAATTTTGGGGTGATGGGAGTTTGGCTTTTCACAAGAAAGGGTCATGAATCCCTGACCAGTAGGTCTGTGGTGCTAGGGGTTACTGCATAGGGAGATTTTCCATAAAGAGAGAGGGACAGACATTTCTGAGAGTGTCACCCATTCTTGGTAGACACACCTCCACCCCACACCCCATGTCTACCCCTCTCCATACTGCACCTTATCCAGTTGGACCCCTATGCACCAATCACTAGAAGAACAAGTTTAGAGGGTCCGGAGCTTGTGCCTGGTTAGCTAAGTAGTCAGTTGAGCCTATAGGTATCACTGAGTCCTATAGTCTGGATTGAAGTATAGCCAGGGCTGGAGCACACAGAATAGAATTCACACTGTCCCTTGAGCAGAATCCACTGGTTTTGTGTGCCTCCAGTGAGAAAAAGGCTTTGAAACTGAACAAGATACCTCTAGAAATGAGCTCTGTTAATCCCTTACCCAGTTCATATCTGTCGTGAACAGGAGCAGGTTCATATGGTGCTTCAGAGCCTTGAGCAGAATATTCTTTGGAACCCAAGTACCAGAGGCTACTTTCCCAGGAGTCCCTCTACCTCACTCCTGTAGGAAGGGAAGTGATGCTTCAGGACATGAGAGGCTGTTCTTGTGTGTATGCATCTGAGGACTAGTTGAAGGATCCAGGAGAAAGGACTGTATTTCCTTCTTGGGTAGGCCCCGAACAAAGCCAAAAATTTTTGGAAATTAGTCTAGAAGGAGTTCTCCTCACTTATGGTCACTGCCCTCTGGCTGTCCTCCCCCTTGTAGAAAGAATCTAGCCTTTGACTTCACTCCTGTCATTAGGTCAGCTGTGTCCCCCTCATAGATAGTCAGCCCCCTGGAAGAAACTTGGCCTATGATCCCTCTATACAGACCGGATGGAGGAGGGCCTCGACACTCCCTGGGAGGTTAGAGACAAACTCTTGCAAGGGGTCATGTGGGCTTCCCAGGCCTTTGCACAGAGAAATAACATGGTCCTTTAATATCCTTGGGAGCAGCTTCCTGGACTTCCTTCCTGGACTTTCTGAGGACTCTGCATTGACCACAGCTGTACTGGTCATTACATTAAACAAGAAATTAAGCATATTTGCTGTTGTTAATTATTGTATGTGCCATTGTTACAGGAGATTATTGGCTAGTCTGTAATAAATTATCTTATAGCAGCCTTTGGGGTCTTATAATTCTTCTAAAGTGTGGAAAGTGGTAGAAATGTCTATCCTATATAATGGCATATTTTGGACCAGTGGACTTTGCTGCTCTTCCCACCCCCTCCCCAAACCTACATCTCACTCACTCCTGCCCCTGCAAGTGGTGGATAAGCACCAAGCAGTAAAGCAGCCAATGTGCTAGCATCTTGGCCTTAACCTGAGACCAAACAGTCCAGTTAACAAAAGCATGAGACCCAGGGCATAAGCTTCCTGCAAAAGGCCCAGAAAATAGGAGATGACATGTGTGAAAACTAGTCCATGCTCTATCTTCCCTTTTCTAGAATCACGAGGCTTTCCTTCTAGGACAGACACAGCCTGGGCCATAAGGACAAGGCAAGGGCCTCCTGGGGTGAGATGTGTCTCCAGAGGTTGGGGAGGGTTGAGGCTGTGTGTGCAGGACAGAGGTGTAGGCCTAGGAATTTTAAGGATAAAGTCTACTCCAGGGGTGGGCAAACTTTTTGACTCGAGGGCCACAATGGGTTCTTAAACTGGACCGGAGGGCCGGAACAAAAGCATGGATGGAGTGTTTGTGTGAACTAATATAAATTCAAAGTAAACATCATTACATAAAAGGGTACGGTCTTTTTTTTCAATAGTTTTATTCATTTCAAACGGGCCGGATCCGGTAGTTTGCCCACAGCTGGTCTACTCTCAACAGGGAAGAAAGAAGGTAAAAGTGAGGCCTCCTGGCATGGGAATCAGAGAAAGTGCTCATCTACTCTCAACTTGCACTGGTCACCACTTACAGAGTGGCACCCAAAGGGCACCCATTTATCCATTTACCTCATAGAGCAGGCCCCCAGCTAAGGCACATTAACTCAGGGAGTTATGTCTACTTTTCCAGCATTATCCAAATTCTCTGAAAAGGGGGCTACCTAGAGCCTCCCAGTTTCTTATTTCCATTTGCTTGCTAAATAAATCCTTACAATTCAGTTGCCCAGTCATTTTTAAACTTCTTCCTTTCCCAAACCAGTTGCCTATCATTTTTGCCTCAAACTTACCTTTTGGGCTTTTGTTTTGTTTTGTGAAGCCCAAATTTATTTTTATTTAAAAATGCTCAAGAGACTTTAAAAAGGCCCAAAAGCCCAAAGGCGTTTAATTTAAGATCATCCTGACTTGGTGTCTGTTTCTCTTTTGTGAGGCATCAATTTGATCCTCCTCAATGAGACACATCAGTAATTCTAGTCGGATTGTGGTGACATCTTGTGACTCCCAGTATCGGTCATATATGGCCTTCAGGTTATGAACGATGAGAAATGTAATACCAGAAATATTCACGAGACGTCTGTAGATTTTACTTGAATATCCTTTCTGAATTATTCATCGCCACCAGGCCCAATGATGATCAATTTGAGTAGCGGACATCATGATGAGTGTCACCTGCAAAGACTGGTATTAAATGCAGCTTTTTCAGAAAGAAACCAGCAAACACCCTTCAAGATGAAACACCTCAAACTTACCTTTTGAATTCATTGTCTCACCTCAGTTACAATACCACAAGTGGCCTGGCGGGCATGGTTCAGTGGTTGAACATGGACCTATGAACCAGGAGGTCACGGTTCAATTCCTGGTCAGGGTACATGCCCAGGTTGTGGGCTTCATCCCCAGTAGGGGGCATGCAGGAGGAGCCTGATCAATGTTTCTATCTCCTCCTTTCCTCTCTGAAATCAATGAAAATATATTTTAAAAGCAAAAACAAACAAACAAACAAAAAACCCCTCACAATACCAAAAGTGGAGTAGTGGCTTGTAGTTCTTATCTGGATTACTGCTGATCATCTGCCTCCATTCTGCCCCTGCCCTCTTCACACACTTTGGTCTCTTTCTTGTTAAGCTATTCAGTAGTTACCTATCATAGTCTTTAGGCTGAAATTCCAAGACCCTTCAGGACAAGGGCAGGCACCCCTCACCGTCCTGTGGCTATTCTAAAGCACTTTCTTTGCAGTGGGGAAGAGGGGGAGGCTCCCCCATGCTCTCCTACCCTCCCCTGCCGCTCACCCCCTCCCCTCCTCCCCGCCACACACACACTGCACTCCTATCCCTTACTGGAATATCCGCAGCCTTTTCCAATGCCTTCTGGGGTCTGACATCCTGACTTCCTTTAGGACCCAGCCAGTCCTGGACACCCTCCCCACAGTACTCTACATTGTTATAATGTACTCGGTCTGCCTGCTCCCCATCAGCCTGAATCTATCCAAAGGCAGGGTCTGAGTATTTCATCTCCCTTCCCCATCTGCCAGGACAGAGAGGATGCCTAGGCACTTCAACATCCAGGCCTGCAGGGCTCCTTTGGAAAGCCAGGGAACGAGGGGGCGTGGTCGGAGGCGGGGCTTGTGAGGAGGGGCGTGGTCGGAGGCGGGGCCTTGGGGCTCCGCAGCGCGCCTGCGCAGGAAGGTGCGTTAAGATGGACGTCGCTGGAATGGACGTCTGCGTGGCGACGGTGAGCAAGAGGTGCCCGAAGGTGGCTCTGGAGAGGAGGTTATGGCCTTCTCCTTCCCAACGTTGAAGACTATCCCCATACTACCCGACATCCGTCCCCCTCTGTGTCCTTTTCAGTATCTGTCCGTCCCCGGACTGTAGTAAATCGTTCTCCCAGTCCTCGCGGTTACTTCCCTTCCCTCTACTTGAATCTACGGGTTTTCCAGACACTCTAGGGCAGTGGTTCTCAACCTTGGCTGCATATCTGAATCACCTGGGAGTCTTTTTAAAATCCTGATTTCTGGGCTCCATCCTTCGGAAATTCTGTTTCTTTGTTATGGGGTGGGGCCACAACGTTAGTAACAAAGAAACAGAATTTCCCGAGGATGAGGCCCAGAAATCAGGATTTTAAAAAGATTCCCAGGTGATTTTAATGTGCAGCCAAGGTTGAGAACCACTGCTCTAGGGGAAATGTCCAGATGCCTAGCAAAGGGGATCTTTATCCCACATATGCCGCCCACGGGGCACCCATATATCCAGTCACCTCACAGAGCCGGCCCCCAGCTAAGAAGGCACATCAACTCAGGGAGTCTAGTCTGCTTCTCCAGCACTATCCACATTCTCTGGGAAGGCATAAATCTTATGTCATATTTGACTCGAAAGTGGTACATGTGTTGTAATTTCTCATAGGGCAGGGGACCTACTTCATAGGAAAAGTCAAACTCTGGCTACTCATGGTTAATAGGCTTGCATATTTGACTTAGTAGCCAATTTTTAAAAAACAGATAATCACGTCTTAAAATGCAGATTTTTAGCTTTCTGAAAAAATTGAAGGATCTGTTAACTCTTAGTTCACATTCTCACAAAGTGACAGGGGGTTGGAACTGAGAAGCAACTGGTAAGTTAGTTTACTGCAGCTCATTATAGACTCTATTACTCCTTATTTTCTGATTTGTACTAAGCTTTACAATTATTTGCCTGTTACTGGTAGGCATTTGTGTTTGTGACCCTTGATGTAGGACTTAATATCTGAATGGATACTTTGAGCTCTTGATGGAAACTGATATACAAAGAGGTTGGAGTGTTTAGGTTGTCCTTTGGTTTCTGTAATGCTCTGATTAGGACCAGAGATCCCAGTCGCTAAAACCCAAGGTGAAATCTGAACTAAAGTCGTTTGTTTTTAAATAAGAGAATTCAACCAAAATATCTGTAGGTTGTTCCCTGGTGCATTTGATCTTGAAGAAATCCACCGTGTTAACGCCTCTCTGATGAGGTCAGGGCAAAGTATTCCGTTTTGAATACTTGGTTATAAAAAGGGCCAGGCTCTGGTCTATTCTGAAAGTGATGTCTCAGCGGTGCTGTCTCTGTGCCAAAACACACAGATGGTAACCCTCTTCTCTGAGGGAATAACAGGTCTCCTGATGTCAAGAGTGGGAGTGTTCTTCAGGTTGTATATAGTCAGAAGTAGAACAGGACCTTTCACAGTGGGTTTTTAAAGAAGCAAAAATCATTTCTTTGAGCATAAGTGTATGACCCACGTACTCATTGTGAATATTTAGGTTAGCTCCCTGAATGAATCTGCCATACCCAGAAGCAGAATGGTAAAGCTGAAGAAATAACACGGCATAGTGGAGGTGGCATAATACTGTGAATACTGACCTCAGCTCTGCTACATACTAGTCAGGGATCCTTGATGGTTAATTTCTCAGAGGCTGTTTTGTGCATCTAGTAAATAGAGCAATAATTCCTGCCATATTTACCCCAGAGGGATCAATCAAATGTGCCCATTAAATGTGAAAGCACTTTGAAAACTACATTTTCTCTAAGTGTATAAGGCATTATTATTATTAATGACATTCTGGGTGCTGATTAACTTTCAAGGTATTTGTCTTGCTGCTTCCAGCTTCAAAATCAAGGAATATTTTGCTGAGTACATCCTATGTTCCAGGTGCTCATCTAGGCATGGAGCCTAGCATTGAACAAAACAAAAACCCCTGTATAAATTTAGGAGTGAGTCATCAGCATAGTGAGTGTCTACTAAGTACCCAGTGCAGTATAATAGCATGGTATAGTAGGAAGAATCTAGATTATGGATTTAAGTCTGCCTCTAATATAGCTGTGAGAGACTCCCTGTGTGAGACTGAACTTCCCCATCTGTAAAATAAAGAGGTTATACAGGGTAAACTGTAAGGTTCATTCCAGATAAAATGCGTTTCTGTAGAGGTTCTAATTGCTAAAGCTCCTTACCCATAAGGAGTTAGTGTACTGCTGGGATGGTCAGACTGACAAAACTGAACAGTGATAGAACTTCAAGGACAACAGAGTGCTGATGTCACACTAGCTTCAGCACAATGGTGGTTACAACAGGATTTCTCTGTAGGTAATGGAGCATATAAAAAGATTTCCTGGATGACCAGCTAGACCCAGATGGCTGGGAAGCTTTGGATTAGAGGAAAGGAAGGAGACTCTATTGCAGATATTGGAAATTGAATTAATTGAAGTGAAAAGGAGAAGGACATGCCATTCATTGTTGTCCTAGTATC